CATATCGTAAGGTAAGACGTATTCTACGTCAAAAGCATCGGGTAAAAACTTGCCACTTTATTCTCTACACCACTCTCCAAAAATCGCTCTCATTTACAAGGATTTTGGAGTACGGGATCATTTTTCCTTTAATTTCCTGCAAGGTCGTGTAAAAACCTGAAAGTTCATTGAGTAAGAGGAAGTGCCGAAGAAATGAATTTAGCTTCCCATTTTGCAAACAAGAGATGGTACGTTATATGTATTCATGACTTCAACGTAGATCTAGCGGCAGATAAAGCGGAACCACAGATAATATTCCTAAAAGAAAAACTAAATTTAGGAATATATACAAATAGATATGCTCAAACTACAAGCTCAAAAACAATAATTGATGCGGTGTTTTCAAGATTATTTCATGTATTAAGAGAATTAAAAATGAAAATGAATAAAAAAATTAAAATCACCAAATGATTAAAATTAAATGGAATTACTGTTTAATTTCTAACCTAACCTACATGTGTATGCATGTAACTGAATATAAGTAAATAGAGTACCCTCATTTTCGAGCTAAACTCCCTAATCTGTAATTAGTAAAAGAGATTAGGTATACAAAATTATAATCATAAAATAGTCTCCGATTAAACCGATAACTTTTTGGTGTCCAACCTAGTTTTATCGATTATAAGTGCGAAGAAGAGGAGGAATGCAAAATGTAAAAGTAAACAAAAATTGACTTTAGCAAGAAAAAGGGGTTTGTACATGTATTTTTAATGAAATATTAAGTTAAAATATATTTAAATATCATAATATGTGTAGCAGAAAAAGTGGGCACGGTGGCACAGAGAAGAAACTCAACTTTTCTTCGAGTTGTGAGAATAACAAGCACAACCAATTTGACAGCTAACGATTTTGATTTGGCCATTTCACACTAGAATGACAGAAGAATTATTCTCACGGTTCACACTGGATTAAAAGTAGCAGAACAAAACGCGTTTGTAACTTTTGTGCTTGAAAGTTTCGAAGCGGCATTTTCGTATTTGCGCATGTGTTAGTGCGCTGCAGCAGAACTGCCACTTTAATGCGGGGTAGAAGCTGGAACAACTTTTTGAGAAACTCTACCTCACCGCACTGCCTCTCTAGCCTACAAACAGAGTTGTTCTGGTGACAGAAATGTTCCAGTGCGAAACCGACCATTGAGATTATATTTATATGTAAACGTATTTTATGCTTTGCCGTACACATGTTTCCACATCAAATTTCATGAGTACTTCCCTGCAAAAATTGCGACTACACCATGCATGCATGTAATGAGTACTCCCTAAGGACCAAGGAGTGCTCGAAAATTAACCACAATTCATATAAAAAATATGGTCCAATTAACATTGCGATGTCCTAGGGCAAGACCATATACTCCATCTCTGCATTACATCAGAGTAGCACAAAACTACTCCAACATATTAACAATGGCATTGTTGTTATATTTTTTCGTTTGTACACGCTTTTGTTCTTCACTTCTCAAATGCTTTTTCGAAATCAATAAAAACCAAGACAAAAAATAAATATTACATGTTGCCTATGACGGCATTCGAACCCGAACATGCTTGGAGCTAAGAACTAATAGCGAGCATCTCTACACGTTCAGCTACAGCCAGACATGCAAATGTGCTTTCAAATGCTCAACTTCAATCACATTTCGTTAAAACACGAGCAGTGATCGGATAACAAACAATAAGCTGGCGCAGAGACACGAGTTGGTCCGCTACAGCATGACAGAGGAACACTTTTGTAAGTACTCCAATTTACCACAAATAGACTACATGGTCCAACGATTTTTGCAGGGTTAGTACTCACGCCTTTTTTTCCATACAAAATGCTCTCCCATATATGGACTTTCCGATAAACGGACGCGGGCACACATGTCTAACTATGAAAAAAAATTTCCCACAAGCGGACACGAAGCTCTAATAAGCGGTAAATTTTGTTTTTTTTTTGCTCACTAATGTTGATTCTTGCGCATGTACATATGTATGTACGTCCATATTCAAATAAGTTTTTTTCTAGAAAAAAATTTTGCCTTTTCATTGCCCTTTTCTTGCTGCTTCAGCGAAGCGGGCATTGAGATTTGGTGGTAGAAAAGAAAACACCATCAGTTTGAATTTATTATCTATTCATTCTGTTTTTGTCTATTGAAGAATAAAGGTATCCACACACCTATACGATTCTGTCTGTGCGAATCTGTTCCGACAAAAATTACAACAATGCCGACCACAGTTTTAAATGAGGAACCTCACACTTGTGCGATTTTGCTGCAGCGATTTATTCGAACATTCCCAGTTCTTCTTTTGGTCGTGCCGAAATCGCAGACTGCCGCGTTTTGAGAACGAAAAATGTCAATAGAAGGGTTTTACCATGGTACAAAAAAGAAGGTAGTTCCAATAAACAACTTTTGACGGATAATAAAATTTTTTGAAGTTTCATAAATTGTGAGTATTCTCAACGGCCTTGCCACTTTAATAATATTAAAACAATAAATCGGAGTATTTTATTTCCCACATTTATACCAATTTAATAAAAGGTTTGTTCCACAAGCTACTCGAAGTCATTTTGAGTTACACATACGCGTTCCACAAATACGTTGTAGAGTTTGTTTGATATACGCTGACAGTTTGAACTTTGCTCGAGTTTTTCTATAAGTAGCTTGTGCAACAAACCTAATATTTCAAATCAAATATCATTATCAGTGCTTGGTAATTTTTTTACTTACGTGGTTCGCACCTTTCTTTCTTAAAAATATATAAAATGTGTAATGTTAAAGGAGACTTCATTGAAATTGTTCTTTTTATTTTATAATAAAAATCACGAGAGCATTATGTTGTTATTTTTTCATTTTCTTATTTTGAATGCAATCTTGCGATTTAAAAATCAAATTCTAAAGAATGCTCTTTCCAAATAAATCTTTTTATAATCGCCAATTCCATGTGAATAAATTGTTCTCATAACTTAACATGCAAAACAAAAGCAAATTGGGAAAAATTATTTTTGCTTTGCTTTATAATTTTTGGGAATATTTGTTAATATGAAATTCGTGATTCGTGATGAAATTCGTGAAAATTTACTTTTAAATTTCTCATCAGATTTTGCAAAAAATTAGGCTTTGGGGTTAGCGTATCACCATTAACTTCAACAAATTTCGAATTTAAAATTTCCAATGACTTGAGAGTGGGTAAGAAAACTTGAATTCGGCTTGCACATAACGCCCCTCCTCGAAGCAATTAGCATAAGTATAATTTTGATTCATCCATTCTGAAGTCTACTTTCGTCAACCCCATTTTGGATATTATGCATTAATTTTCAGATTCATCATATTCGACATCTTTGAGTGGACTGATGAAATCTTCTGCTTAATTAAAAAATATTACTGCTCGTGATCAGGTAGCATGAATTTAATGAAATGTCATAATTTTATTAAAAGTCAAATGGTTAACAACAACAACAACGAATGTCATTATGGGTAAAACCCATGATACAAAAAAGAAGGTAGTTTCAATAAACAACTTTTGACGGATAATAAAATTTTTTGAAGTTCCATAAATTGTGAGCATTATCAACGGCCTTGCCACTTTGATAATATTAAAACAATAAATCGGAGTATTTTCTTTCCCATATTTTTACCAATGTAATAACATTTCAAATCAAAAACCATTATCAGTACATGGTACTGTTAAAGGAGACTTCAACTGAATTGTTCTTTTTATTTTGTAATAAAAATCACGCGCGCGTTTTCTGTTATTATTATTATTATAATTTTTTTTATGCAATCTTGCGATTTAAAAATCTAATTCTAAAGAATGTTCTTCCCAAATAAAACCTTTTTATATTTAGGTTCAAATTTACTTTTAAATTTCCCATCAGATTTTGCAAAAAATTAGGCTTTGTGATTAGCGCATTATCATTAAATTTCACAAATTTTTAATTTATGCAAAACACCTGGAGTCGGCTTGAAAAGACCGCCCTCCGATAAACAACTAATAGATCGTCGTTTAAAGTACAAAACCGGGTATCAACAAAATGCACAACTGCGTATGTGAGGTTGCATAAATTATTTTGTAGAGAGTAAAAACACTCACATTTCAAAATGGTTCTTTTTTTACAAAGAAATCTCATTTCAGGACGAATGAATAAGGCTTGAGCCAAGAGTTTGTGTGAGCAAATAAAATTTTTGGCAAAAAATGTCAGTTACGCGGTTTTGCAGAATGACGCCGTGTACTTGTTTTGTACTTTAAGCGACGATATGTAAGTATACACTTTCTTCATTCGTTCTGAGACCTAGTCCTCAACCCCGTTTTCGAAATCATTTAGCCGGCATAATTTTCTAGTTCATCATATTCCACATATTTGAATGTACTGATAAAATCTTCTGCTTAAAAAAAAAAACATTTCTTCTAGTGATCAGGTAGCATGAATTTGATGAAATGTCATAATTTTATCAAAAGTCAAATGGTTAACAACAACAACGAATGTCATTAAATGAAACTACCTTCTTTTTTGTGTCATGGGTTTGACAATATTGAAAGAAAATTTATCGTAAGAAACCAAAACATATTTGATGTAGAAAAGTGAAGAATTTTATTTTTGTTGAAAAATATTTTTTGTTTGTCTATAAATTGACACATTTTACTGCGATAAAATCGCACAGATGTGTGCGTACTTGCGTTTTCGAAGCAGTAACGTCTGTAGCATCAAAAACGGTGCGGATTCGTTGCGACAGAATCGCATAGGTGTGTGGATACCTTAAGTTTTATTTTCATGAGAAACCCGCAATTTCAAATTTTTAAACTTGAATTTGAATATTATGTTTTACGAAATTCCCATGAGCGGACATCTCCCATAGGCGAACAAAAAGTAAGCGGTATGCACTTATGGGAGCTTTCACTGTATACATATGTATGTACAATGTACATTGTACATACACACTATGTAAGTATTAAAACCTACATACATCAACACAAACGAGTCAATACCTGAAAAGCGTCATTTAAGCTGTGCATTCTCATGCGTTCGCGCTCATTTGACTCCAATCGTCGCAGATTACGTTCCTTTGCGTTAAGAACACCTTTCCTGCGGCGACTTTGTGTGGAACCCGATAAGGAGTTCCTGCCGTGACTGGATGGCCGTGCACTGCCACCATTACTGCTGCCGCCGCCTCCGCTTGTATCATCGCTTTGTGAACTTGAATCTGTCATTTCCATCTCATAATTATTATTGCTTAACTGAAATGAAAAGAAAAAGGAGAACTTTGAATACTGCTGGACACCTCCAAGAATTTTATTTTCAAGTAAAACGCATATGGGCAAATCTAAAAAATAGGTACACTTTCAAACAAAAAATTTTAATTTTTAAATTTGTGAGCACACCTATGTTTTATATATCATTTTATTCGTAATCTCTTAGTAAATCTATTAATATAAGTGTAATTCATATTCATCAAGTGCTTCAAAAGTTAGACGAGGAATAAGCATGAAATAGAAAACAAAAGAATAAGCTGGGTTGAAATTACGCTGTTCAAGTTGTAAACTTTGAGGAAAGATTTTGAAAGTTGAACTCACTTAATTGGGATGTTTTAAATTCAGTGGCATGCCCTGTTTTACCAGATTGGCTCCGGTTTTCGAGATAACGGTACTTGAAAATTTTATTAAATTTTAACTATTTTATAAATAACTCCCTCAATTTTGAAGTTATTTTACTAAAATTTTGCACATAACAGTTTTTTAATATTACCTTAATTATTCCTTAAAATTATCGAAATAGGTTGACAATAACATATAGCTCCAATACAACTGATTACTCAGATATGTGTTTTTGCGCAATAACTCTAACTTCATATCTGAATAATAAATTGTATGCGTGCTATATGTTAAATTGAACCTATACTAAATTTTAACCTGTTTAATTGAAGGAGTTATAACGCAAAACAACGTCTCAGATCAATCAGTTGTATGGGAGCTATATGTTTTAGTGAACCGATTTCGATGATTTTACGGAATAGTTAAGGTAATATTAAAAAACGGTTATGTGTAAAATTTTAGTAAAATATCTTCAAACCCCAGGGTTTTTTTTTTATAAAATAGTTAAAATTTAAGGAAAGTTTTAAGTACCGCTATCTCGAAAAGTGGAGCCAATAGGGTAAAACTTAGGACGCCATTGAATTCAGAAGGCTCCAATTAAGTAAGATCAATTATCAGAACATTTGTCGAAAAAAAGTTGCTTTGATACCACTCTCGAAATATTCTGACTAAAAGAAGTAGCATCATTAATAGTAAATCAGGGTTTTTACACACTTCTAGAGATAAATTTTTTGAAGCATTTTACAGGTATATGTAATTTTATAAGGACTAGCAGTTATAGAAAGATTTAGATCGTTTCGACGTGTTTTCCAAATGTGGCTTTAATTAAAGTGTTTTTGGAATAAAAATTACACTCAATATCGCAGAATATTTTATCTTTAAAAGTTGGTTTATTCTGAAAGCACAGCTCTTGCTCAGGTATGAAATTATTCGTAATTGTTTGTAGTATACAATACATACTTAAAAAGTTCTTAAACTTAAATGCTTCAAAAACTATACGCGATAAACCGAAAATTTTGAAAATTGTGAAATGTGGAATTACAGACTTTGAGTTACTTGCCATTTCGTTATTTTTTAATGCACACTTTTCTTACCTACTACATTTGAAGTGTACACATAAGTACTAATTGCACATACAATTTCAAATCAGTATATGGTGTGCTTAAAAAGTTATGGCATAATTAATTTTTCACCTCTTAAAAATTACATACAAAATTCACTTGTTTTCATTATTATTTTTTATTTAAACACCTATAATTCAAAAGTTATGCGGCAAATTGATCCAAATTTTTTTTGAGGCTTCAAGTATACGTCAATGAATTATATCCAAAAGCAACCAGCTTGATATAGTTTCCAACAGTGAAAATAAAGCTAAAAAACACCAAGGTTACCTGTTTTTTAGATTTGCCCATATGCGTGTGACATACATATCGCAAACCGTCTTCAAAAGAGTCCCAACTCAAAATAATACGTTTATCAGAAAATGCGAAAAACTATTTCTTAGCACATGATAATCATATGGGCAAGGGCGACTTTACCTTAGGTTTTTTTTTTAAACAAATTATAACAAAAATTTGCTCCAGCTTTTGCTGAAAGGTAAATAAAAGCTCTGCGTACATTTTTAGCGCATAATCTCAAAAATGCCAAATTTTGAGTTGTGACTTTTGAAGACGGTGTGCGATATGTATTTCATAGGTATCATCATTCTTATTTTTCCAGTGAAAGCTATATATTTCGCATCTAAAAATATTCGGAACATTCTTTGAAAACAAATGATCCGAATTTTGAAATTTAACTCTGTCAGCAAGAAAATTAAAAATCTACAAAGCTTTAGAGCTTTTCTATTGTGGCTGGTGGTACTTTTGTCTCCAGAATGTGATCGAATAGATCAAATACATAAATAATTAATGTATAGAATTGATTTAAATAAATACCAAAGAATTTCTGAATTCTTTGTAACTACATATTACACTGTGGAACACAAAAAAAAAAACCAAGAGTGCGTATATATCAGGTTTGATAGCTGTTGGCCATACGAACAATGCATGTACAATGCCTCATAAAGCTCAACCTAATATTACCGGCGTGAGTTTTTCTACGCACGCATGCAAGTTTTTCACATTCAGTTTTCATTTCAGTTTAACGGAAATCAATTTGGGTGCGTTGCATTTCTGTCAAATTTACAGAAGTTTGTTGAGCAAAATTTGAATTCACAGTCGCGCCAAAATGTCAAATGAGCACAAACGTCAAATCGAAATGTCACGCAACACAAATCTTGGAATTTGAGTTAGCTTTTTACGCACGCCGTTCAATTTCGGTTGGTCCCATAGAGGTTGTATGTGCATGAGATATTTTTGACAGTAAACCGCCGGCGTGCGTGAATACTAGGTTGGCCTGATATTCAGTAGAGTCCGACCGATTGTGCGGCTTCGGTTTGCCGCCATCGGCAATATTTCCATATGTGGTTGAATGCTCGGCCGAAGTTTTTGCCGAAGCCGAATCTTTTTGCTATCTAGATTTTTTTGAATATGTATTATAATTAAAATGTATGCATTTATTTTGAATAATCTGTTAAAAAAAAGTGGTATTGTAACCCTTTCTTAAAATCAGCTGCCAGCTGAGAACTTCGGAATTTAAAATTGCAATACATATAGAATTTTTCGAGGTGCCTGATATTTTTCAATATTGGAATACTAGCTCTCTAGAGTTACTTAAAGCAGTTGCTGAAAATTATCTTTGTGCTCCATCCACCAGCGACCACAGAACAAACTCTTGGCGAGAACGCAAAAAACAGCGGTCGCCCCACGTCAGGCAATGGTAAACCTCCGAATGTATTTGTGCATAGAAAAAGCTTCTGATAAAATTCAATTGGCGTCACAAATTAGAGGAGAAGCTTGGCCGAACACTTAGTAAAAGTGTAAGCGCCAAACACTAACATATTGTTTAAGCGCCAATCTTTTATTATTATTCATATAAACAAAGATATTTGCTGAACGGTGACTACAATTTTTTTGTAAATACACTAGATATAAATACGTCTCTATGTATTTTGTATTTTATGTACACGTAAAGAGGTAAGATGGAGCTTATCCTTTAAAAAAATCGATTTACTTAAATTTAAACGAAATGTGACACTGAAGATGGCACAACGCCGAAACCGGTTTGTCTCCAAACCAAATTTGACAAGGGATGACGGAAAATCGTTCCACATTACATCATAAATCATAGGCTTCGGCTTCGGTAACACTGGACCACAAATTTCAACTTTTTCTCTTTACCAGAAACGCCGTTATGAAATTCTTATGTAAAATCACCCCCTGATTCCGAAAATCAAGGTTATTTTTGAGATATTTGCAATTTACCGTTTTTGCAAAAAAAAAAAAATTGGGTCCACTTTATCATATATATCTCAAGAACGAATTAAGCAATTCCAAAACGGTTTGAAGCTTTTAAAAGGTAATAAAATTTTCTATAAACTGTGCATACAACACTTTTTGCTAGGCCCTGTAGATTCAAAGATAACGAACAATCATTACCGATTTTTTCAATTTTTTTTGTAAAAATATAAAAAAAATTGTACTTTGCGGAGAAGGATCTCGAAAACCTTTTATTTTTTTGCTAAGCTAATTGTTATATTACAAAAAAAATAAGGTATCACCGAAGAAAATCGATGCAAAACTACGTAAGTTATAAGCGATCAAATAAAAATACCCAGGTTGCGCAACTTCAATGTATGTACCTATACATACATACATACATATATTAAAGGTATAAAGTGCAAGTGAGATATTATCCGGATAAACGAATAACACCATAACAATGATAACACTTTTTCTTTAAATAAATCAAACAGTACTTTTAGTACTCGAATTGTATTATAGTAGGTAGAGTGGTTGCATCGAAAGGAAGAGTGGTTGGGTTCGAAACCTGCAGTAGGCATGTAGTTATAAAGATGTATTTCCGTCAGTTATGGGTAAGTATGCAGGTAGATTTTCAAAATTATAAGACACAGAAAATTTCTAAAGCCTACATCTAAAACAGGTAGTATTTTCTTTTCCCGGCTTGTTATAAAAAGGAACCTTTCTGTCTAGGTAAGATTTGATTTTTTCAATTTTATTCTTGTTCCGAGTATAAATATGAGTTAATGCGCTTTGAAACTTCATAACATCTTCAAGGCTCGCCGGAGATAGTTCAGTTCATAAGTTCAAAACCGTGATTTATTAAAAAAAATAAAATGAGTAAAAGGACGCGAGAATTTGAGTGTAATAAGGATCCAGATATGTTCTGTTTCATGTGTGGCCAATATACTATCATAAGGCGACGACGAGTGTTCTCAGATCATATCAAAACTTTATACTCCAAGTATTTTGGAATTGAGCCTAAAAATGCTGAAAAACCATGGACACCGAACACTTTGTGTACATCGTGTCGAGTAGAATTGATTCAGTGGGAATCAGGACAACAAACAAAATTTGATACACCAATGATATGGAGAGAACCTACTTGCCATTCAATAGAGTGTTATATTTGTCAAACAAAAGTACTTGGCGTTGGA